CGACCCTTCCTTATCCCACACGAGTTTGTACAACCTATAGAAATCCCCATTTTAGAATTCATCCACAACACTAAATTCAATCACAAATTATATAATCTAATCCAAAACACACCTTATGAGTTTGCAGTTGGCACTGAAGAACTAACCACTATTAAGGCACTTCAATTGCTTTGGCCACTGCTTCAAACTAAAAATATCATCCGCATCTTAGCTAAACTACTAACAACTTCAGAACTAATTCACGACATCTTCCCCCACGGTTTTTTCCCCGACGACTAACAGGTAAGTATGAATTAAATGAATATTACTAACTAATTAAAATATTAAAAAACTCACCATACTTTATTCATGTTTTCTTTAGATTTTTAGCCTTCATCCGACGATCACCTACAAAAACCACAAAAGACAAATAAAAATCGCAAATTTCATCAAACAGATTTCAAAAATTTTATTAATCTCTTACACTTATAAATTTATAAATTTAATACCAATGCAGTAAATTCATTTCTAAAATTTTCCCCCACAAGCAGTAAATCTAATTATGATGAAAATTTGTATCTTAATATTCCCCCATGACTAGCAGTAAATTTCTAAATTCTATGTAGTAAATTAATAAAATGCAATTGCAGTACTAACCTTTTGATATTTTCATTCATTCGCACAGAAATTCTATCCACACTCGCACAGCTCGCCCACGAAGAATTGTTTAAAATAATGAATTTCAGTTTCAAGTTTTCACACTCAACAACTCTAACATATAATAACATGTTTCAAACTTTCCTTTAACCCGGTTGGAAAGGAATCATATACTAAACAAAACTAACCAACGCAGCTTACTAAATACCACAAATCATAGAATAACAGCATGACTTAGAAAAGAAAACCAACGGTACCCAAACCGGATTAACCCAGTTTAAAACTGGATAATTTATTCTTTTGAAGACTATTATAAAGTCTAAGAAAGAAATAATAAAACACAAAAAAGTCGAAAGACAAACCCATACCACAAACAATTTGATTTTTGAAAAAAGGACACAACCAACAAAACATAAGTAAGACCACGACAAACCCAACATAAAACGTTGTCACATAACAGGACCCCTCACAAAAACCGCATGAAATCATACTCCCACTCCTGGCCTAACCCACCAGGAAGGACGTCCTGAGCATGCTCTTTAGCCGGCCTAACCCACCGCGCTACACCCACGCTTTGTGACCACACCACTATTTTTAATAAGAGCTACTCAAGTGTGAGTAACTCTTCAAAATAACCGAACTAAAACAAAAAGCTTTTGTGAAAACAACTAACTAAAATCATTATTAAAAAATATTAAACTAATAAAAGTTTTATAAAATGTAAAATCACATGATGCAATATATAGATCAGAATACAACACCAAGGACGAACATCAAAAGACAAGACGACCCCACTACACTCGAGAGAGAATGACCAACTACAATCGATATGCCGCCCACAATCACAACTCAAAGGATTTAGAGTACGACTTGACCTCGCAGAAAAGGACTTCATTGAACTAGACCAATGACCACCTCGATGTTCAAGTACACGTACAGATCCGAGTAACCAGGCATCCCCTCCACGCACAATCTCCACGCCATTCCCAAACTAGATCATACACAAAAGAAGTTCTCCACGCAGAACAGAAAAACCTGACATAGCAAACCATTCTGAAATCAGATTTGAGTTTGTTGCGAAGACTTAGTCGTTGTCACTAGAAGACACAACGTCTTATGTCTCTAACTCCAGCTTCCTGGAACTTCTTTAACAAAAAGGAAACAGAAGAAATAAGATGTTCGCCAAACACCAACTTCCATCATCCATCCTTCGAATTGCAAAAGAACTATTCTAAAAAACTCTGTAAAACCCGGATGGGTGGAACCTGATCTAAACTACATTTTATGATTGGATAAATTAAATGTTTTACCAATGTAAAGTATTTAATATTAACCAATCATGATCCATCTAACTAACAACCCACTTATTTGTAAGTGCTGAAGTTACTTGTAATTTCAGCACCAGAGAGATTTGAATTTAACTTAGAAATTAGTTGGACTCTCCCGAGCACTTCAGCAGCCGCAATAAACCAGTATACCCTAGATCTATTGAGCCTAGCAGAGACTAGTTAAACAACCTGAGACTAGATAGTATAAGAGTAAGATTAGGATCGGTATTAGACTAAGAAGTTGCACGAATCTATCCGGCCGAAAATAAGATAGCGTGACGAGCAGACGGTGTACCCTATCCGAAATTACTCTATGAGTTAACCAACTCGGTCCTAACTCACTATACACAGACGAAAAACAAAAACAAAACTTATAATTGTTTTTTTTTTGTCAAATAAAGTTATAAAAAATGGACAAAAAAGTCCTGAAAAAACTGACCTGCACCGATAAACACTTTACAAAGAGCCTTCAAAAGGCTAAAAAAAAGAAAATAAGCAGACACGAAGGTCTACAAAATTCGAAAACTTTCATTTTCGACAAAAAACAGGTCCTGACTGAAGCCGAACATCCGGGATTTGTCGTGGTGAACCATGGATACTAATACTGCACTAAAAGCAAAGAACACTTCTTGAAACTATATAAAAACAACTTTTAAAAAATTTTTGTTGAATAGCATGAAAAAAATCAAAATAGGCAAAACTTCTTGGAACTCGATTTTTTCCCAAAACCGCAATGAACCGAAAAATTTCTTAATTAAAGTAAAAATGCCCAATTCTACGGCAAAACTGGCGCTGCGGTAACCAACCTGACAAAAAGTAAACAAACAGATCCGACAAAGATTTTTTGACGCGCTGACATTTTTGCGCTTACAAAAAACAGGTCCTGGCCAGATTCAAACCGTTGACTTTTGTCTTTATAGGTGATGCGTTACCTTTTCGGCACATGCGTGAATCAACGTCTGACTTCAAATGAACCAAAGGTAAATGATTCAAGTAATTCTCTTAAACTAGTTGTTAACCCAAAATAAGTCTATATTCCGGTTTGAAAACGGTTGCTAATCGCAAGCGTAACACAGAGGATAAACTGAGCTTCGAGCCACTAGCGATAAAAAAAAGAAAGCCGCTAAGCCAGAGAAATTGAAAAAAAAATTAGAAAAAGTCGAATAAACTAGATCTATCAAAAAAAAATAAGGCAAGTTTTCAAATAAAAAAAACATGCCGAGACTATGCTATATGAAATAAGCATCGCAAGAGAATTTACCAAACGGTAATTAAGCCAAATAAAATCTTGGCAGAAACCCTTTAAGCTAAAAAAAAAATGAACAAGACTTAAGTTAAGAAGTCCCCTTCACCCTTCAAACATAGACACGAACACACAAAAAAATTTCGCTCATCGACAGACGCAATGTTGCCATTAAACCGATTTAATATAGGCAAAAACCTATCAATCCGAAAGAAAAGAAAAAAAGACAAAGCCTACTAACAGTTGGAAAAAATCACTGAACGCAACCAAACTGAAAAAAAAACTGAATGGTTTGTTAAAATTAACCCAATTTCAGAAAACTGGATCAACAGGTACAACTTTTAGTTCGCTGTGAAATCTGATAATTAATTTCCATTTTCAGAAGTCAATCATGTTTTTCGTGACCTTTAAACTTTTGCTGTTCGATAGTGCAGTTTGTCTTCCTTTTAACGATGGAAATGCACTAAACTTAAAAAGAAATCACCAATCAAACCGAGAAAAATCAAAACTGAGCGTGAAAAAACTTTAATACTTTTTCCTGAAAAAAAACATAAAAAGTCAAGGTTAGTAAAATTACAAACATCAGTGGAGTGGTAAATCAGAAAACTAAAATCAACTAATGTAAAAAAAAAACTAGAAAAAAAACAACAATTCAACAATATGACAACTATGCCGACAAAAAGGAGACAGATAATGAGCCGACAATTTTTTGTGAAACGGAATATTTCCCGTTCGAACCCAGGACCTTTGCCATTCCAGGCGTAATCGTTACCTGCAGACAAACAGTGCAGGAGACAAAGAAATTGGATTTAATTAAGAAGTGAAGACTGTTCTGTGCTTGAAATTATTTAAAGGGTAAAAAGTCTAGGATCCGATTGCAATACCCCTGCTATCGCAAGGGTAATAATTCATTGAGTCGTCTTAATTTTTAACCCTTAATACTTCACCCGCTACTTTATCACCACAATCAAGAGAACCCAACGCCACAGGTTCACCCTGTTTTTACTGCCAAAAAGGTTCAGCTTGTTTATTTTTATTTGACATGACTTTGCTCAAGATCAGGGGCGGATCTAGGATTTTCTCGAGGGGTGGGGGGGGGGGGGGTTGGGTGGGATTTTCAATTTTCGCCAATTTTTTTTTGTTTGGGTCAACCAAATTGATTTTTCGAGCTCTCTCAAAGCACTAAAAAGCCCCTGTTTTGGTTTAAAGTTCTGCGCCGCAGACAAAATTTTAGGCACCTTTTAGAAAATTTTAGGCACTTATATTTTTTAGGCAACATTTTAGGCACTTTTTAGAAAATTACAAAAAAATCGCGTTTTTTCGGCTCGCTCTCCCCCCTCAAAATAGTACGAAGGGAAACCCAGGTAGGGGGTCGAATGGCTGAGGTCGAATCCCATCAAATCCGCCCCTGCTCAATATCATATCAATTTTAAAAATACTGGTCTGATTACTTCGCAAAAATTTTAAACGATCGGCAAGGTCATGTTAAAAAATATATAAAGCGAACTCAGCAACTTGCATATTTCATTTTACTTCGCCAAATTTTTCGCAATCAAATCTTTGTTAATTACTGACGCTTTTTTCAGTATCTAATCTAGTTTAACTTTGAAAAGGGGTTAAAAAGTAATAACGAAAACAACTTTTGAGGATAGAATATTTGAACTTAAGAAATGGTGGGGTGGGGGCGGGGCAAAAAAGCGATGCACTTAAGAAATGGTGGGGTGGGGGGGGGGGGGGACAAAAGAAGCGAGGTTATAAGATTGGGAACCGCTATTTGGGGATCGATCAATTACCTGAACACATTCTTCATTAGATCATTTTTGCCACTCCACGTGATCAAACTAGATGACGTCATCGTCCTATTTGAAGATGATGACTGTTTGGTGTTGTGAATTTTTGTGCTTTGAGATGAGTTGCTGTTTGATATTGATATTGAGGATTGGGAAAGTTCAGCTATGGATCCGCCACCACCTCTCTGATGGTGACTGCTAGAAAACACAAACAGAATGATAAAATTAATGGTCGTCGAAATCTTACTTCATTTCGATCTAACTAACCGTACATTTCTAACTTTACATTGGGAACTTACAACGAGAACAATAAAAGAACGAAGCAAAGTGCCTCGCCACTTGCGATACAGCACAAAAATAGCATGACAGCTAGCCGAGGGCTAAAAAGTTTTGAAACTCAAGATTTAAGCCTTCAATTCGTCCCACCGAAGCGAAGACGCAAAAAAATATATTTTTTTCGCGGTTCAAATAAAATTACACAGAAGCGACGCTGCGCTTCGCCAACACAAGCGAGGAAAATGCAAAAAAGAGCTCAAAACAGGCAAAACAAAGTGAAATCAGGAAATCAAATTCTTTGTTGAGACTAGGAGAATCACTTTTTCACAACTGCTCCACGAGCACTTGTAATTTTACTAACACTAATTACCAATAAAGCAGCTGTAGTACATCAAATTGCCAATTTTATGCAGCAAAAATTTGACCGAAAAAACGAAACTATTTATTCCGGATTTCAAATTTCGACCTGTTGATTAAAAATCTCACGTCATCAATGCGCCACGGTTGCTTGGAAGTAAGCTAGTGGCACAGCTAATGCTGGATCTACCTGTTCTAAAATTTTTATTCATATATTGTAGTACTGACACGCGTAATTTTCGAAAAAATCAAAAAATTGGGCTTTACGCTAAACCATTGTTGTTCTCTGCTTAAATAGGGGGATTATCCGTTTATTTAAAAGAGAGAAATCAGCAGAAAAGAATAACTTTCCAAAAAACGGGCAAAATTTCAAAAATCGGACATTTCTAAGGCCATTTTCAAAACGCAGGGCATAGATGCTTGGGCAGGTAAGTTTCGCACAATTGATTTTTTTTGGTTAAACCCTTAATCTCCGATTTAACATTGTAGTTGAGAAAAGTCGAAAAATTTAAGAATTTACCAAAAATAGGCTTGTTTGAGGTCATAACTTTTTTCTACTGAAAGTAAGGAATAGCAACTAGAGAAAAGCAGATCCCCATAACTTGTTCTTTTGATTGAAACCCTCCTCTCCAATTTGTGCCTCTAATATTTAAGACAACAAAAAAATCGAAACAAATAGGCCAAAAATCCCCCTACTGAAACTTTTGAAGGCCGTAGAACGTGAGTTAAAAGGAAAGAGTCTAGAAAAAAATGCAGGCGCATAGAAGGGCGGCCGATTTTTCTATTAATGGCTTGTTGTTGAAAATCTGTAGCATTTTTTTGAGATACATTGAAATTTCTGCGAAAAAAGCAAAAAATTTACAAGGCGTCGCAAAACAAAACGATAAACAACAAATCCCATACAATTTCATTATAACAGTTTTTTCAAACAGGACCTTACAATTCTCAAAAATAAAGCATCAACATATGCTATTAAACTATTTATGCTAAAATAAGCTTAAACACAATTAAACTGAAATCTACCACTGGAGCCACCAAATGAGCACTTTTATTTGCGACTTGGTTAAGAAAAAAATTTATATCTTCGTAATAATACAATACACTTGGCTTGTGTAATGAGGCAAGTATCTCGATATACCTTAAGCAAAAAATACATTTAAAGCGAAAAAAAATAAGGAAAGTATGACGAAATCATAGGACATCAGGAGTAAATCAAATAAAGATGTCAAATTTTGTGAAAACTCAAAAAAATCCATCCTTTGGCAGAGTTAGCCAAAAAAAAACAAGCACCATTGAAATTTTTCTGCGAAAAACAAACGAACTAAGAGAACGGTATCGAATCCAGTACCTTTGTTATACCAATCATAAATCTGCGTTAGGGCCAAATCTGCCACAAGTTTCATATGCGAAAATCAACCTACATGTTCTTTCATCTTAGCATTTTGAGCTAATCTGACAATTACTCCAAAAACAGATCGTTGGAGAAGAGTTAAGGAAAGCAAAGAAACCGAAAAAAAATATTGATTTATTTTCTGAAAACTTCTTTTTCAAACTTCAAAGAAAAAAATTGAGCCCTTAAAGATCTTTGAATTTAAATTTTTTTAATGACTGACACCTTTTTGATTTCAAAAACTTTCAAATTGCAAAACATAACTGATTCTTGACACAATAGCGGCTTATCTACTTTCTAAGGGGATTTATTATTTTTCTGAACGCTGTTTACTTCGACAAACAATTAATACATAACTGATTATGCAGGCAAGGTTCCCAAAAAATGTTATCCCGATTGAACCCTAAATAACAGATTTGGCGAGGTATAATAGTTTCTGTAAAAAAAACTCAAAAAATTGGTCAAAATTTGCAGTTTTTCTTAGACCAAGTTTTTCGGCAAGAAAAAGGGCGTAGCCGCTCATATAGGAAAATGTTCTACGATCTTTACTTTGGCTTGAACCTTTTACCCCAGAACTGGCACGGTGGTTTTTGAGAAACATTTCAGTTTTTTTTTAAATATTGTTTCACATTTCCCATAGTCCTAAAGTTTTTCTACAGAAATTAGGGCGAAACCTCTTAAACCGCGAATATAAAAAAGATCTGTTCTTTCCGTTGCTTCTCTTTTGTCAAACTTTGCAGGCTAGTTGTCGTGAATAGTGAAAAAGTAATTAAAAAATCTGAGTCGAAAATCCCTGTTGAAAATTTAGTTGAAATGTAGTTGAAAAAATCCCTGCAACTACAATGAGAGTTTATTCAAGCAAAAAACTCAACGACGTGGCAGCTAAATCGAAAATCTTTGAGCAGAAACCAACTGAACCGAAAAACTAAATTTATGATTTTTTTAATCATTCAAGTCCCCCCCCCCCCTGAAATTAGAATGAACAACACTTGCAATTGTAATTACACTGAAAATTGTCTAGAGCGCAAGCAAAATCCGTTGTGGCATATTAGCCGACAAAACTTGAGCGAACAAAAAGAAACCAACAATTCATTTATCTCGGATTTTTTTTCAATTTCCTTGATACTGAAAAAACAAAGTCTGGACGGGACTCGAACCCCAGACCATAGAGTACTCAGGCAACTGACTTACCTCCAGGCCCAAGGGCGAAGCAACCTGGAGGACGTTACGAGAAGAAGAAAAATGAAAAGAAGTCAGCTAGTCAGCAAGTGATTCAACAGATATTGTTAAACTAGTTGTTCACTAGAAAACAAGTCTACATTCCAGTTTGATAACGCTTGCTAATTTCAAGCGTCATTACAGGGAATTAGAAATTTCTGGTTACAAATGACAGTATCTAGCTTTATACAATTTTAAATCTTTCAATTATTACGAAATGGTTTAACCACAGCTTTTTTGTTTAAAAAATATAAATAGAAATTTGTCTTAGGGGGCATATCAAACCTAGCCAATAAACAGTAGGAAAAGAGTCAACGAACGCAATTAAATACTTTTCAAAAAACAAGTCAGTGTTTTTTTATTATTTAATTGCGTTCGTTGACTCTTTTCCAACTGTCTGTTGGCTAGGTTTGATATGCTCCCTAAGACAAATTTCTATTTATATTTTTTAAACAATCAAGCTGTGGTTAAACCATTTTGTAATAATTGAAAGATTTTAAATTGTATGATTTCATTCGCGGCTGGAATTTTGAATTCTTTTTAAGTTCAGTTCATTTTCTTTGTTAAAAGGAAGGCGAGGCGAACTCCACTATCGAACAGCAAAAGTGTTAAATTCACGAAAAACGTGATCGACTTCTCGTTTCGAAAGCGGAATTTAATTTTCAAAATTCTCAGCGAAATTAAAAATTTACATATTGATTGGGTCAATTTTATTGAAAAAATGCCTATCATAAATTTTCTAGAAATTCAGAGCTTAATGGGCATTTACTTTTTAAAAAACAAGTCATTTTTTTCCCATTAAGCGCTGAATTTCTAGAAAATTTATGATAGGCATTTTTTCATTTCGCTAAGAATTTTGAAAATTAAATTCCGCTTTCGAAACGAGAAGTCGATCACGTTTTTCGTGACTTTTACACTTTTGGTGTTCGATAGTGGTGTTCGCCTTCCTTGAACAAAGAAAATGAACTGAACTTAGAAAGAAATCAAAACTCCAGCCGCGAAAAGTAATTTCGAGCCTCAATAAAAGTAAATTCGATCCTGAAAAAAAATCATCACAATCTTTAGAAGAGCCTGAACTGCGTTAATCGACTCTTAATATCTCTTCAGCCGAAGTTACCATTTCGGGGAGAGAGAAGGAGGAAAAAACATGAATGACGCAGACCAACAAAGCAGAAACGAAGCCGTAATTTGCAAACATGCCTTCTAAAACGGCGAAAAGGAGAAAGCAAGAAATTGTGTCTTAAATCAACAAACTATAATTAAAACACCTCGGAGACAACGCGACTCGTAAAAACAGCTGAAACCGAACTGAAAAACTTATGTATCTTTTTAATCATTCAGCCCAAACTTGAAGATCCCAAATATCAAAAAAGAAAAAATCTGACCAATAAGGTCGATCTCACATATATCTGATTGGTTCAATATTGATTATCAGACAAGGTATTGTTTGAATTTTGGGTTTAACAGATACTGCTCAGTGAAAGTGCCAAATCTGAAAGTCATTTTCAATTGATCAGGGAACGTGGCAATTTTCGCCCTTCATAAATTTAGTGGCCCATTTCGACCCTCTAATTGTTCACACCAACTTCATTATGAGACTTTGTGTGATATTAGGGAGATATTAGGAGCGCATATGAGAGAGGCAAAATTTGTCACTAAACTTGAGAAGGACGAAATTTGTCTAAATCATGATCTAGACATTTTTCAGGGCGGAAAAGACCAAAAGAAAATTAGACCAAAACTAACCTGTTCAGCCCCATCCGAGCTGAACTGAGTCCCGAAAACAGTCGCCGTGTTGCACTCTGACTACCCCCTCTATTCATTGCCTCCGATGAGTCCGATCCACTGAACTGACTTTTCCTCGACAGTGGACTGTCGTTCAAGTTGTCGTATGGATGGACACGTGAGTATGAGTCATCATCTATCGTGTTGTCGTATGTTTTGCGTCTATTTCTTGAATCTCTGGAAAGACTTAAATGATTTCTCGAGTCAAAAATTTTGAGATGTTTTTGCAATTTCTTGTTTTTAGCAACCAATTTAAACTTCAAAAAATTAGAACCCAATTTAAAAATATGAGCAAGCGATGATTTATGAGATGGCTCAGAATAACTACATTTCAATTTTTATAAAATTCAGTTTTAAGTACGTGATCCCGATTGCCTTTAATGACATGAAAAAAGACACTTTCAGTAGAATTTCCTATCAAAAAAAAACAATTGAGCCCGGCAAAAAATCACTCGAATTAGGTCTCTCAAATAATTGATATGATTATATAATCATATTCTTATGAACTCATTCATAAACCATCGCTGAACATCGGCCATCCAGATTATCTGGAAAATCACCGCAGAAAGACTACTATCCGAAAGCGACGTGAACAGATAATTCATTCAATACTAATGTGGGATTGGACATCAACACAGAACGAAGCGGCAAGTTCGCAAACTTGAGAGAGAAAGAAAAAAGAGGTGGGACCGGCTGCGGCAAAATGGATGACATCTCCCCCTCCCCCACGGTTGGTCCTGCACTGAGCAGGCCGGGGGCAAATAAAAAAAAAAAAAAAAGAAAGAAGCTAAATGGAACTTCAAAATGCACAAAAACACGAAATTTTCATGATATAATTTGGAATGTAATAAGCTAAAGCCAAATACACTTACTTTGCATGTACTCAATTGAAACGTATAAAACCACATTGTGTATATCTAAACATTAAAACTTCGCAAATACATAAATTTGCGAAAGTTTTGACGTACACTTCAGAAATTCAGAACAATTCTGAAATGGAGTACACTATTACACTATTATACATTATCACATTAATACACTGCTGTATTCAGCAAATCGGGCTCTTTTCCAGTTGTCTCCCCCCTTCTAATTTGTCTGAAGTTCAATGTATAAAAGTTGATTTAAAATGATTTATCCTAACAAAAACTGCATTACAACATGACGGCGCGAACAGGTGAACAAATTTTTTTACAACATTTCTAATATGCAAAACGCCGTGTGATAAATCTTTCAATATTTATATTTTGTAATTTTGCGAGGGGGTGGGAAACTGGAAAAGAGCCGCAACTCGTGTTTTCGGTTCCATTGATGACTTTAGAACCATTAAACGTGTTAACTTATTAGTAATCAAATTTCACAGCAAAAGCTGCATGATCTGCAAAAATTGGTAAGGCTGCATGAGCTGCAAAAATCTCACCAAAAAGAGCACTAATATTTAAAACTTAGAAGAAAAAAGTTGGAAAGAAGTGACCATGTAATATCACATGCCATTCCGCATGTGTAAAAACTGCGCAACAGAGATGACAATAGTTAATACAGAGGCAAAGCTGCGCTCCGGAAACAAGCAATGAACGTGCAAAAAAGCTCAAACAGGCAAACAAAGTGATATAAAAAAAAGATTTTAGAAAAACACCTTGAAAATTGTTTCATTGAGATTAGGAGTATCACGATCTCATATCTGCTTCACGAACTCTTGAAATTTTACAAACGTTAGTCATCAATATAGCAGTTACATTTTCTATCAAAGTTCCAATGTTATGCAGCATAAATTCGATTAAAAAAAACTTTTTAAATAAACCGGATTTGAATATCCGACCTGTTGATTTGGAGTCTCACGTCCTCGCATCTGCGCCACGGTCGCTTGAAGTAAACTAGCGGCCCAACAAAAGCTGGGTCTACTTGCTCTAACATTTTTAATCATATATTGTACTGATACGGAAACGCGTAATCTTCGAAAACTCAAATGGACTTTATGCTAAACCGTGATTCTCTGCTTAAATTTACCGCTTATTTTAAAGAGAAAAATACTACTTGCTCTTTTAATTCAAGACTTTATCTCATATTTGTCTGGGTAGTTTTCAAAAAAGTGAAGATTCTTAAATAGATTAACTTTTCTCTTAATCATGGAAATGGCCTCAATACTCCCACCCTGACTTTTAGATGAAAGATTTGCCCAACCGATTTTTAAATATGAACCCTTAAAATCAGATTTAGCTAGTAGTTTTGAGGAATTTTCCGAAGTACATATCAGGTTTTCTACAAAAACATAGTGTAAAACAGATTAAAAAGAAAAAATATAAGCACCATATTAGTTTTAATGCTCTATCAACTTCAGGTTAGCTTTTGAAACAAAAAAAAAAATTCTAGGCCATTTAAAAAAACCATTTAAATTTACTACCCCTTTTAAAACTACCAAAATGTCAAAAAATGGGCTTAATTGAGGCCATAACTTTTTAAAACAAATTGAGAGAACAGCAGCTCGAGAAGGGAATTTATTCTTTTGATTGAAACATTCATTTCACGTATTTTTGAATTCAATATTTGAGAAAATGAAAAAAAAAAATCAAAACAAATACGCCAAAAATCCCCTTATTGACACTTTCGAAGTCCATAGAACATAAGGTAAAATCAAAAGAGACTTGCAAAAACTTACAGGCACATCGCAGAGCAGCATGTTTTTCTAAAAGTACCATTTCTTTGGAAAATCGGAACAGAATTTTTTTTTAGAATTGAAATTTCTGCAAAAAAAATACAAACATTTTTCAAAGCTCCGCAGAAAAAAAAACGAAAAACAACAAATCCCATGCATTTTTCATAATACATGGTTTTATCAAACAGGGACTAACACTGGCCAAAAATAATGCAGCAACATATGCCATCAAATTGTTTATGCTTAAATAATATTATGCTTAAATTGTTTATGCTTATGATTAAATTGAAATACACCAAAAGTGCCACCAAATGAGCACTTATATTTGCGACATAGTTTAGAAAAAAAACTCTGGGTATTGAAACACTACTCTATGCTTGTGTATATATGATTAAATTGAATTATACCAAAAAAAGCCACCAAATGAGCCTTTTTATTTGCGACTTACTTAAGAAAAAGAAAAATCTTCGTCACTACGCTTCGCATGTGTAAAAATTAATTACTTCTTTAAATTTGAATTTTATTTCATAATCATTCACGTTACAATTTTTATCGCTAGAACTTTTACTTATAAGTTCCCGGGTTGAATTCCCAGAAATAATCTATGAAAAGTGGCTAAACCAGTTTGATAGTAGTTTTATGGATGATTCCGTGTTTTTACATACATCATCGGTGATTTATTAATAGCAATAGAAAACTACTGAAAACATTTATTCAGCTATGACTTAGCGATAATTCATGGATGACTTAGCGGTGGTAACTAAATTTTTTAGCGCTGAATCAATGTTTTGGCGCTGTGTTATCAATGACTTACGCTTTTAGGTACATTTTTTGTTCAAGTCCAGTTTCTAGTTTTTTGTGATTTATGCTTCTCACATGATACGCCGTGACAATCTTTGACCAAATGAAAAGAGAGCGTCGTTGAATTAGGAATGCATTATAGCGAAAGAAAGTTAGATTGATTACTAAATAGTTTGTAGATTTTTGTTTCAATTTGTTACAAAATATTAACTTATTAAATAAATTTTTCATCAAGTAAACCTTTTCTACCGAGGAAGCCCAGAGATTTGTACCTTAGGGAGATTGCCCAGAAGTCTAAGGTCTGCGGCAAAAATCTCTCCTCAAGTGACTGTAGCTTAATGCATCACTCTGCTGGTAGTTCGGAACACAAGTTTAATCCCTATTTCATCGCAAAAAGTAATCACTAATAAATTAGTGTTATTTCAGCACTGAAAGCTGTTATTAGGGCAAAACAATTATAAATTCAGCGCTTATCGCTTATTAATTCGTAAAAGTTTCAAATTTTCTGACTCTATGTCAAGGAAAAGTCAGCAGTGAAATTTGCTATTTGGGTCAAGATTTGGTCCTAACCCATTGATGGCAATCGCATCACTTTTTTGCCCGATTTCTCATCGTTAACTTTTGATGAGAACTCGTAGTGAATCTCATAAAAAGCAACAACAAATTGAGGTTTTGCGATTCGCAGAGGATCTATGAAAAGCTATCCAGCTTGACTACTCATAGTCCGTCTCTCTTATTTACCCATATTTCCTCTTATTTGGGAGTTTATTTGTTAATTGAAGCTTTTTTGGGACTCAAGTTATTTTTTTGCGTCTAGAGCTATTATGTGGTACCACTATTGCAGCCGAAATTGGTCAGGCTGTGGTAGACATGATGCTAGAGGTCAAACGAGAGCTCGTCCGCACCCACTTTCATTGCCATGGCAGGGGATCGATTACACGATCTGACGATCTCGAAGTGAACGCCTTACCAATATGCTATTACCTATTACCATATTTGAAGGATAAAGTATAATCATTCAGGAAAGGCAGAGTTGCTAATCTATTTGAACTCACAACAAAGAGGGATCTTCCTGAAGCACCCCTCCCGATATGGACTCGCCATCAACCTCGACAACACTGCTTCCACTTACAGGTGAAACTTGAATTATTTCACTGTTATGTGATACTTCGATAATCATTTCGAAGTTTACTTAAGACCCTTCTCTTTTAGAGCATGAGAAAAAAAATAATTCGAGCATTGATTTAAAAAGTGGATCAAAAATCAATTAACAAAACTTTTCTGATAGAAAACTATGAAGTAGGTCTCGACAAAGACTGTAAAAAGGCCACAAAATGCCCTTGATACCTTAAATTTAAACACAGGCGAAGCTGAGCTTCGCACCACTTGCGATACATATTTGATTAAAAACAAACACACGGAAAAATTTGAAGAAAAAAAATTCAATCGTTTCTGTCACCAAAAAAGCAATCTCAGCACTTGTGTCACCTCTACGCCAAATGGTTGATTGAATTTTAAATTATAATTAATATGCGGCAACAAAGCCGAATATACCTGAGCATAAACCTTTCATGCCGAAAAAAATTCAAAAATTCTCAAGTAACAAAAAAAATGTATGTTACTCCCCTCAGACCACACGCACCTACACAAACTTTTTTGCTCCCGCAAGACGCAATAAGCGGCCACTAAGTCGATATAAATCGAGTCGAAACCTACTAACCGGATAAAAAAGACAAAAAGTATAAAATAAACAAATCGGGTTGCTAAAATTACAATCAGTTACAGGGAAAAAAGTCTGGTTCCCGATTGCAATACCCTTGCTTGTCGCAAGGTTTATTGCAGTACCCTTGCTTATCGCAAGAGTAATGAGCTCTTTTTCAGTAATTTGAATTTTAAAAGTTTGCAGGTGGGGGGGGGGGAAGGAAAAAGAGCCGAGTAATGTAATAGAAACGGTATTTAAACTGTTTTCTTCTCTAACTCCCTTCTCACCTGGGATATGTGTTTTCTTGTTGTTGATGTGTTTGTTCTACTTCTATTGTGAACTCCTTGCCCGATTGTCTCATCTGTGTTATGGCACTCCAGTTATAGCTCTAAAACAATTCATTACCAGTGGCTAAATTTCAGGTACCACATCAGTGAAATAAGATGTTATGCTTTGAGACAACGATAGTAAAATTTCTGGGGGGCCGCAGTTTTTCAAAAAATACTGTCGATCATTTTTTCGACCAATTTGATTTTTTGAGCTCTCCCAAAATTGAGCTCTCTAAGGAAAAAGTTTCGGCAAATTTTCGAAAAATAAACAAGCTACAAATGACGTTTTGAGCACTTTTTTAATATACTTTACCAAAAAAAAATTTACAAAATGAGTTTTTTCGGCGCGCGCTTCCTCAAATTTGGTTATATTGGCGAGAAAGGCGCGTTTATAAAACTTTTGCAATTGGTGGGACAAAAATCGATGTAAACTATACCAAAGGGGGGACCCTTTGGGAAAATTTGGCAACCAGAAATAGGGGAGGAAGCTGTCCCCCGACCCCCATGGGCACGCTACTTTATAGAAGGAAAACTACGTTTCCTTCTTTAAGGCCTTTGCTTTTCAAAATGTGGTTCACTTTAAAACATAGCCAGCAGACAGTTTAAAAAGAGCCAATGAACGCAAGTTAACAAAAAAAATACTGAATTCACCATCCTTGTCGCAAATGTTATTTTATTCAAATTTCTTGTATTTGAAGGTGTTAAGTCCTATTAAAAATACAGTCCGTTTCACATAAATTGTCAGTCGTTCCCGCTCTAAAATCTCAACTTTCGAATTTCGGAAAAGAAACAGATGACCTTAGAGCTCTTTGAATTTCTACTACAGTTTATGGATGACACTTTTTTGATAAATTTAACCCAATTTGAGAAAACTCGACCAATAGGTAAATTTTTTGTGCTGGGAAATCTGAAAATTAAATTCCTGTTTAAAACTAGAAGTCGATCACGTTATTCGTGACCTTTAAACTTTTGCTGTTCGATAGTGAAATTTGCTTTCTTTTTAATACAGGAAATGAACTGAACTTGAAAAAAAAGTTAAACAGCGAAAAAGTAAATTTGAGCCTTAACAACTTTTACACTTTTCCTGAAAAAAAAATCAAAAAATTATTAAAACCTATATAAGAGTCTGAACTACGTTCGTCGACTCTTAATTATGTCGCGTACTCGAAAAAAATAGGGATAACTTTTTTCTAAAATCTTAAGAGCAACGCTCCATTTATCATTTATTCTTAGTACACCCGAACTATTTCAAAACCATAAAAAGCAAAAACTATCCGTCTTGTGTTGTTGGTTGGTACTTGTGTTCTCTGTAAGAAACTGTCGTTTTGATTTAGCCCTATACACAGTAGCTTGCCGAGAGGGGGCAGTAGGGGGGGGGGGTTCGACCGCCTTCCTCCCTCAATTCTGCTAGAATAAATTTTTCCTAAGGGTCCCCCTCTTTGGTATAATTTTACATCCATTTTCGGCTGACCAACTTCAAACATTTCTAAAGGAGCCTTTGGCACCAATATAACTAGGTTTGAGGGGCATACAAAAAATTGCAATTGGTCGACCTAAAAAAAGGTCGACCATTTTTTTCTTCTTCAAAAAACCAACCCCCGCATCCCACAAGAAACCCTTCTGCGCACTCCACTGCCTGTACATTACCATATAAAGTATATCAACATCTCTTACCGCGTCGAGGCTTATCGAGTCTCCATCTCCAAAGCCCATCTCTTTACTCCCACCCCCACCTTGATTACTCCACTGTTTCAGTCCCCCAACCCCCACAGACAACCAGACCAGTCTTCCACTTGAGGTCTTGTTCTTCACTGGGTATAGATGTTGACCATACGTAGGGATAGATTGCGCTATTCGCATGTAGTCCACAATACATCGTTGCTTCGAGCAGCCGATCAAGTTGTGGTGTTGTTTACTGATCTCGTGTGTGCTTAAATACAAAAAAATCATTAATGACAATGGAAATGAAGTGAACATGAAAAGAAATCAAGGTCAACTCAAGAAAAAATAGTATTGAGCCCGACAAATTTTGAACAATTTCATTTAAAAAAACGGAACAATCATCTCGACCTATATAAAAGTCTGAACTAGGCTCATCGACTCTTAAAATCACTAATGTTTGTTTCACAGTCGGTAATGTAAGATTACTTATAAGATGAAAAAAATCTTCAATAGTTGACAAATTTGACAAATAGAAACAAGTTATCCAAATTCAGTTCTTGACTTGACTAACCAATGTGCTCTCAAGGCAGCTTGTGCATCTGCTGGAAAAGATATTAATTTGTGCTCTGATATGATATCTCCCGTAGTCTCCTCACTAAAACAAAGTTCAACACGAGATTTCTATAGCCAATTAAAACCAGTTTTCATTATTTGATTTAAACGTGCGCGTGCCTTGCCAAAGACATCATAAAAAATGATGCCCGGTTTTCGGAACGTTCCGAGTCTCGACGAAATAACCCTCTATTGAATCGCGGATGAATTAGCCGCTTCACAATCGCTCCATAAACCCAGTACGATTTGCGCATTGTTGATAAACTCAATGGGCAATTATAGCAATTTTTATAACACTCACGAAAGTTTCACAATGCTATATGCTTTAGAGGTGGAAAATTTTTTATTGTCTACAGTTCTCAATCCAAAAGGTCGGCCTTCCGAGAATCATCATGATCCGTGATCCTCAATTTGAGGATCAATTGACCTTTCACACCCCCCCCCCCAAAAAAAACAGACAATCAATATTTATGTTTAAATTAGCATGCATTTCAGATTTGCTTACCATTATCATTTAGTCAGCTACTATACAATCGTATATATGCAATCAATGAAAATATATATTTTTTGGAATTCGTGCAATTGGTTTATTTCACCTGTGGAAGTCACCAAAGCTCTCTTGTATGGCTAGTGCAGTTAAGTGGATCAGCTGGTCCCAGTTGGCATTTAATTCACCCTAAAACGGATCGGCAATTTGAGATAATTTAATCAACTTCCCAAATATCGAAGTGAGCTTCAAATCATACTATCACATGATGCTACCTTGACAAAATAGCTTTATTAGCTAGGATCCTATTATAACAATTTTTTTAACCAATCGTTCCTTTAACAAACGTTTTAAAATGGTTCTTCTGTTTTTGTTTAAGTTATAATCTCGTTATTAGCTTTAAGCCAGCGTTTCGATTATATTTAACTTTTTAATATACGAACTCATATCCATAACCAAACTAAGCTTTCTTTATATCGCATACAAAATAAATCCGTATGAATTTTGGCCTTTTCCCATTATAGCATCTCGGGATTATTGAAAAACAACTAATATCCCCTAACAAGAAAAATCAACTACATCAAAGCATTATTTTTTTATTTAAGGGATCTGTAATTCGCGGTAGTGAATAAAACGGGAAAAGGTTTAAATTCTTATCTAAACCAGCTCCAAACTCTAGTTTCAAACAAATAGCAACGGGATCGCTTGTCTTAAAAGCAACAATTTTATCTACACAGTATTGTATTTACACGTCATCAAATGCGAAAAAATGTGATTTCCTTTCAAAAAATGAGTCATATAAAAATTTTCAGAAATTGAGAATCTAAAATGCAATTTGAATTTTTTCTAGAGGGCCGCTAATCGTAAGCGTTTTTCGGCTATGTGAGTTAGGGTTGAAGTTCTGAAACTGGTACACATCTGCCTCGGTCCCATTTGGACAGTGTGATTCGGAGGAAACACTTCCAGACTACCCAGTTATCGAGCTGACTGGTTTCCAGGAAAAAACGACCTGAAACAAAAAAAACTCTATTCGAACAAATATTGCAGCATAGGGACAAGGATTCTTGCTGGGTCACATGACAACTCGCAATGAAATACAGCTTACTAAAAACATAGACACACACAGTTGGAAAATTGTTTATTAAATAAAGGAAAAAGAAAAAACAGACTGAATTTGTTTTCGAATTGTCTTTTGTTGCGAAGAACCATCAAGTGGTTGAAAATTCTGTGGTTAAGACTGGGTAAAAAAGTCTGGATGAATTTGGTCGACCGACTCACCACTCTCGTCCAGCTGCTGTGTAATCATCTCGTTAGTTGACACTCTCATCACTTCCACATCTGGCGACTTACACTTCTCTGGCTTCTCATTAGGCTCCACCACCCCCAAACTTTTCGTGTTCACCACACACACTCCGTCTCTGTCTGGGTCGGATGGGTCATACGTGTCGGTGGATTGCACTTCACCGCAGAAATCTGCAGAACAAATTGGAATAACTTAATTGGAAGCAAAAATTCACTGGCACCTCTGAACTATTCAAACATAGGCTGCGTAGTTATTCAAACATCATCTTTCGTCATCATCGCTCATAATTATTTACATATCCTTCACTCTTATTCATTAAAATCATAGGTTTTTTCTTATTTTTTCAAAATTAACAAAAATTAATGTGTCTAACCAGAATTTGGATCGGTGTCATTCACTGTCATCTTGAAATATAAATCAGGCGGGTTCATTCTGGACACACCTTCAACCAGAAACAGTCCTCTGGCATGACATACAAAGAAGGATTCTTCCATTATGCGACACAAGCCCAGATTGTCATCTGCTAAGTGGAGGAAGTTGTCCTCGTCCCACATTACTACCTTCGTCACCTGATACACATGGAATTGGTGATCAAAGGGAAAATAAATCATCTTTATGAGTCATATTTATCATCCATTTTCGAAAAAAAATTTATCATGGCAAAGATCTAAGATTTCAAGAATATTTCATGATATCGAAATAAAATCTGAGAATTTCATGAATAACTCAATTTTAATTCAGAGGTTAAGGCGGAGCCTCGAATCACTTCCGATACATTCACTGTATCGGAAGTGATTCGGAAGCTAGCGGACAGAAAAGGAAAGGAAAACCACTACGCCCAAAATATTCGAAAAAGATTTGAATTGTCTAGAATGTTTATTAAGAAAAAATAACACGTCTAGAAACACAATAGCTGGCGTTAAATTTGTATTCAGACACACTTAAAGACCGGCAAAGAGTGTCAAAATCTTTGAAAATTTTGAAACTTTTACAATTTTTCTAAATCAAAAGTCACTTTGAAAACTGAAAGTCGTTGAAACTTTCTCTACCCATTTCCTCTTTGGAATTAGAGAGCGCCTTTTATCAGATGAAACGGAATTGCACTTAGGAAATCAAAAATCAAGACGCAATAGATCAAACTTGGCGTCAAAACTGGCTGAAAAAAAAAACGTTGTGTCGACTACGTTCATTTACACCAAAAACATACCCACAGACGGTTGGAGAAGAGACAATCAACGCAAATAAACAGAAAAAAAATCTGATCAGTTCTTTGAAAAACCTTCTAGCTTTCGATTTTCTAAGAAAAAAAACAAATGGCCTTAGAGCTCTTTGAAATTCAAGAGCAAGTTATGACTAGTACTTTTTGATAAAACTAGCCCAACTTAAGAAAACTGGATCGATTTCTCACTGGAAAATCGAAAAATTCAAATCCATTTTCAATACTAAAAGTCAATCGCGTTTTTCGTGACCTTTACTTTTCTGCTGCTCGATAGCAACACTTTCCATGAAAAAAAAATTAAAAAGATCATCACGACCCATTTAAGAGTCTGAACTACGTTAGACACACATGACCACAATAAACACACAAAAATTAATGAAAACTCTATGACCATTAACACTTGAACAGTTGTTCTCTGTTTTAAGCTGGCACTGCCTAATCTCTTATGATGGTCCTTTTCCTCTTACTTAGTAAAGTACATCGTCTTACTTCTAAGATTCTAAGTACACAACAGCGGTTCGCCGTGATGAGCTGTGAAAATCTTGTAATGGTCTTAATCTAACGAAAGATATGATTTGAAGTGGACTGAACTGACCTTCTCACTTGGGAACTTGAGTGTATCGCATCTGACCAGATCTGCGATAACATGAACATGTGTTTCCTTCTTCGCACTTAAGTAGTGGCAATCTGTCCTCAGTGGGTCTGAGCAGTAGGCATCTCTCCAACTTTCCTTTTCACTCCCAGTCGTATCCGCACACGTGTAGCCCTTTCTTCCTGAACAACCCAAATTGCTATTCCAACCGAAAAAAGAGACAGAACTTCTGTTCCGACTACTGAAAATGGGAAGCAACAATGTATTTGAGTGGGTTTTTATTTCTTTTTTTTTTGTTTTGAAAGCAAAATCAGGCTCCACAAAAACTTATCGAACAAGGTTGAGTGATATATCATATAAAAGCCCTATCCGCCCTGATCGAGCGACATTAAAAACAGTTGTCCAAATGTTGAGAAAAACCGGTTTTTAGTAAAATTTCGAGCACAAAAAGCAAGCGAGCACGCTTTCTTTTGAAGTGTATGTCATGAAACTTTAGTTTAGCTCCAGTAACATTTTAAATTGACTTTAGTTTAGCTCCAGTAAATTTTTAAGTTTTTTTAGCGTTCGGAATAATTTATCTTTGGAATAAAAGTTTCAAAAAATGTCTACAAAAAAATTTTTGAATTTTTTTGTTCTCTTTCTTGTTCTTTGTCGACTGAAACCATTGCCCGATTTGCCTTTTTCACAGTAACTGTCGAAGATTCCCAACTTCTAGGTTTTCGTAAGATCCTTATATTACAACAAACGACACTAATTTGAAAAAAAAAAACATGGAAAATATTTTATATGTTTTTTTTAAAGTATGGTCGGAACATTCTGTGCTAGTTGCACAGCAATTGGCTATTCTTGGTTATAAATTTACTTATCCAGCATCACATCTTCCATGATTTGACTTTTTCTTTCATGTTTCAGTTCAATGTCCAATTCATCATAAAACCCCCAAAATTTACCGTTAAAGGTGAAAAAAAAAAGTTTAAAAACGGCCGAGGAACTCAAGAAAGACCCAAAAATTCCGTTTCGACATGACAAAAAAAAACACGTTTTTTCGGCACGCAGTCTTCAAAATTAATGCACGCACCGACTCCGAAAGCGCTTTTAGAAATAACATAAGGGTGATCTGCCGAAATTTCCTTTTTTGAAAAATTGACTTTCAAAATAAATTTTTACCACTTTAAAGCTCTTTGAATCTCAAGAATCTTCCGTCCTGGAATCCTCTCTTAATGAAATGGACTCATTTTGGGAAATCTGGATCAATGTGCAATTTTTACTCGACTGGAAAGCAAAAAAATCTTTCTGATATATCAACCATGTTTTTCTGGGCATCCACAACAGTGAAGTCCCCAACTAGGGCCAGGCTGAAGCTGTAGGCACGTGCTTGATTTTTTGAAATTGTAATACTGATGCTGGACGAAATTCGTATTTTCAAAAAATGTTTTCTGCCCAAAACCTTGGTTGTTTCTCTAGTAAAAGAGGTGAGAAAAGTGAGAATTTTTGTGAATTTGAAATCTTCCCAAAGACATAACCTTCCCAATTTTTCCCTAAGACAGCCTCGTCTGCAGAAAAAATTCATGCAACCGCTTCTTTCGATTGAAATTTTCATTTCAGATTTGACAATCAGTTTTTATAAAAATTGATAAGTCTCTAAAAACAGTCAAAGTTCAAAAACTTGACTTTCCGAAATCCATAACTTTTTTTCTGCTCAAAGATTTCCTAGGTTAGTTTTTGAGAAAACGAAAAAAAGTATCAGAAATATTGGTCAAATATTCCCCCACAGACGAGGAGAGTATGCAGGCATACAAGACTGTAGGAGGTCTGTCTATGGATACCCCTCTTTTCAAAATGGGTAGAAGGTTTTTTGCATAACAATGAACCTTTCCAAAGCGTCTAAAAAAGACCCAATCCCATATGCTTTCATAATTCTTGTTTTAATCAAACCGGAGTTCGAGACAAACATGCCACGCAAGGCATTCGAAATTCAAATTAGCAACTGAACATAACTTAGGAAGTGGAAACAAGGCCGACAATCTTTGATCAGACACCAGTTGAGCCGAAAAAAAAACTGATTTTGTAAAAAAAACTTTAATAAGTTTCAAGCCTCCTTGAAACTACCCTGTAGTAACAAGTACCCAACCAGTAGCTAAACTTGAGTTTTCATCGTGACATTTGCACTCGTGACATTTACAATTAACGGTTTTATTTACAGATGCTTTTAAACATGACTCCTAAGTTTTATCTCTCTTTTCAGATCTTTTGCTTAGGTGAACACCAAGATGAAGAGATCTCGCGACATTTCAAATTCAAAACTTCATTGCCAATCTTCTGATGCTTTTAATTTTGACTCACGAGTTTTTTGAAAAGCTTATCTCACCTTCATTTTTGACACATCCTTCAGTGAGTATGACCATGACAATGAGTGCAATCATAAACACGACAATGATCATACATCCCACTATGGTAGATCGGTCCAACTTGTCCTTGCGAAACTTCTTCACTTTATTGTGATCAATATTAGCTTCTATTGTTACTGGCAACTGAAACAACATACGAAGTGAAGTCCCCACTTTATTTTACCATATAGCATATTTATGATTCTAAAAAGACAACATACAATTTATATACCTCAAAAACCTGAAGCTCTTGTGTATCATACTTTAATGTCATTTCAATAGCTTAAAAATGCGAGATAAGTCTTATTATCAACCCCGGTCAAATCAATTATAATTTTGTCCAGCTCTAATTCTTGATTAAAAAAACAACCAAATCTCAAAAACCATTGTGATTTTCAAGCATCGCCTGACCATGGGACAGCATGATTTCTTGTTTGAGATATTGATGCACCAATGAGCACATCAGAGAATGAATCAAAATACAGTTTACATAGTACATGTATCTGTTGTTGATGAGAGTTACTTTTATTTAAACGTTGTTTTAATCTATTAATGGACGCGATAGCCTGGTCATAGAGGACCAAACTTAGCTAATTTCAATGTATGACTAAAAATGAAGAAAAAACTTACAAATGGATAAAATTACAACAGACTTATATCAAGAACGTTCGTATCTTCTATATCTAGCAAATCTGTCATATTGTGCCATTTATATTGAACATTATAATCCGAACAGATTATAGCGCCACTTTCGAGATATAAAAATAACAAAGAACAAAAACAAAACGAGAAACTTCAAAAAAAAAATAACTTAGTCAAAAATTTCAAAACCAAAATTAACCATTATAAAACTAAAACTTAATAGTCTAAATCGGCTCAAATTTCATGAACTTGATTGTCTATATAATCCGCAAAGCAATTAAAGGTTAGTGAGAAAAATGGAAACTTTGAGGCAGATTTTGGCGTTTTTTTTTCACATAGAAAATATGGACACAAACACACACACACAAATTTACACACGCACACACACCACAAATACATATTAACACACACACACAATTTTGAATTTGATACTGAACACAGACTATTTCGTCAAAATGTGCGAATACTGAACACAGACTATTTCGTCAAAACTTTAGCTCCAATTTTCAAATGGAGCTAAAGTATTGAAAAAAAACATGAAACTTTAAGAAGCCGACAAATTTAACCGAAAATCTTTTCAATGCAAAAATCGACAAATTTATGCTTTATGAAGTATACATTCAAAAAATACTCACAGTTGACCTCTCTATAAACAGCATTCAACCACGCAGTGTAATTGTATCGTAAAAAAAGCAAACCAAGCGGAAAAAATTCAACCGAAAACGACAAAATGAAAAAAAATGAAGAATTTTCATTCAAGATCTTTAAACAAAAATAAATTGAAATAACACTATTCATGTAACTCAAAAGTATTAATTACACAAGGACGAAGCTGCACATCGCATACACAAGCGAGAAAAGGCAAAAGTAGCTCTAAAAATTTCAAAACGCGAAAAAGATAAAAGAATTTAAAAAAGATATGTGCCAACAGACATTTGAAAAAGATTCAATGAAAGCAAGTAAAAACAAACTAATTTGTTTTTTGAAAATTTTCCGATAAAAAAAGTTGATGCCCTTAAAGCTCCTTCAATGACTATTTATGAATGACTTTTTAAATAAAATAACACCATTTGAGAAAACTCCATCAATAAGCGAAATTTTTATTTCCCTGGGAAATCTCAGAGTTCAATTCAATTTTCAAAATTAGAAGTCATCTCATCTCGTTTTTCTTTACACTTCCGCTGTTCAAGAAATCAGAAGTCAAAATAGTTTGACAGAGCCTGATCAAAGTTTGAGACTTTTCCTGAAACAAAAACGGAAAAATAATCACCGCGACCTATATAAGAGTCTGAACAAGGACTTTTCATTAAAGAAAACATGATTTTGCAGGGGGAGATTACACCTCCGTTTGAATTATTTCTTTTTATTTAAGAATTGGCACCGTGGTTTTTGAATTATTGAAAAAAGTACAAAAATGGGTCGAAAGGTCAAATGATTTAAAAGTCCATAGCGGATTCCTTGACAAAGTTGGAAAAACTCGCTTATCCTTACCAAAGTTAAATAAAAAAAAGCTTTTGATTGAACCCTTATTCTCAGATTCGGCCTCGTATTTTTCGAGAAAATCAAAAATTCCAATAAACACAATTTTGCTAAGTGCAACAATGGCTTTTCTACGAAAAGTAGGGCATAGCAGATATGAATAGAAATTCCTAGCGCATGATCTTTCGAATGAACCTTCAATATTAAATTTGGACAATTCGTTTTTGAGACAATCATAATAATTTCAAAAAACGGTCAAAGATTCGAAACATAGAACTTTCTCAAATTAATTATAGTTCTTTCACAAAAACTAGAACCTAGTCTTTATGCAGAGAAATTTCACAGCACTTCTTCTATCGATTGAACCCTTCATCTCATATTTCGCACTTAAATATTTTTCTACACACAAACTTCAAAAATAAACTTTTTTTTTGCTGAGATTAGGGCTTCACAGCTTATTCAAATAGAAAAACTTTACCCGTGTTTTTTCTTTTAAACCTTTTATCTAATATGTGGCTGAAACTTTTCTAGAAAACTCATCAAGTTTCCAAGAAATGAGCTGAATTTCAAAAACAACCTATTTAAAGATGATAACTTTTTTAATCAATTTTTATAAACGTCTTTTTATTTCGTCAATATAAACGTCGATTTTTAATACCTGCTTTTTATTTCAACAGGAAATAGCCACCAAAAAACCAGCAACAAAAACATAATGCTATGGAGCAAAAATTAATCAGATATAGAAACTCAAAGATTTCACCAAATATCGCACTGCGCTCAACTTGTGTAGAAAGACGGTTGAACAAAAAATAGCATGAACGGGTAATAAAAGTATGCATAAGACGTCACGTGATAAAATCTGAACTAGTTACAACTGAAAAACAGTACCCGGTTGCAACACATTTGCTCTCCCATGTGTTATTGCTAAAATAACTTCACAAATTTCATCAAGCAAAACACGGTCATGGACATTTTGAATTCAAATAAAAGAGTGCAAGAGGAAAACAACGAAAATCAGGAAAAAATGACTATAAACGGAAAGCCCTTAAAATAATGAGCAAAAAAATGACAACCGTATCGTATATTTTCAGGCTCTACAGCTTGCTCAAGGAACCCTTATCTATTGCTTAAATTATTTATCATTCTACAAGAGAAATCAAGTAAACCAAAAACGTTGTTGATAGAGAAATAAATGATCAAAAAATATATTATTAAAATTGCGTATAAAATTACCTGTATGACAAGCATAAGAAAAAGGACGCTCAAGCAGAAGCCAAGAGGATTTTGAACGACAAAACCATTCAAAAAAGAACGCAAAAATGGTTGAAACAAAATCGTTCCTTTTGTTTAAATTTGTTTTTAAGAGGTTCTTGTTGGGTTGACTCTGAGCATCCCAAAACTCTTTTTCAGAGTCTTATCGGTCTCCATGGTTTGCAACGAGACTTTTAGGAAACTAAATATCAGGTAAATACGGCGAGATAACTAAAGCCGACACCCAAAAGCTGAAAATGCAATAAACATTTCGGCAAAAAGGTCGTATTAAAAGCATGGCACGTACAGCCCATATAGTATCCAAATGTGCTGTATATGAAGTATATGCAAGAAAGTAAACGCAATTCGGAACAAAGCCGGAAGAACCTAAGTCGACAACCATAAATCAAATAAATCATCAGCAAAAGTATCAAAATTCTACATACGGTGGTTAGAATTCTAGATATTGCATTTGAGCATGTCAGCAGAACTAAATTGAAAAAATGTCAACAGTGCAAAGCTTGTTTTTCAAAAACATAACACAGAAGCGATGGAGCGCTTCGCACCACTTGCGATGCGAAACTACATGCCAAATTTCGATAGATAATCTGGCTCTTAAGAAAAACGGAATAATTAAAGGAATTAAGTTTAAGAAACAGTCGGCTGAAAACTTAGGACATTTTATGCAATTCCAATCGCACTACCCAAACTATAGAGGATTCGGAATTTCAAATACCAATCATTTCTTTCTGATTACCATCAGATAGCAAGGATACAAAAAAGTGAGTTTCGGTCCGAAAATCATCATCCAAAAACTCCAAAATTCGCCAAGAAACTTCGCTGAAAATCTTGGAACTAAACAAACTACATGACCAACAAGAACGTCCAGATGTATCAAAGGCAATTTCGATTGCTTAACGAAAAAAAAAGATCAAAATGAAAAAAAAATTAAACATTGAGACTTCAAAAAATTTGAATACAAAAACTTCAAACAATACTACAAAGATTGGAAGAAAACATATATAGAAAACTCTTAAAAACCTATAAAATCAACCCAATTACATCAATCTTGTGAAATATGAATCTATTATGCAATGGTAAGGTAACTGAACCACAACAAAAAAGATCACAAATGAAAACAAGGATAGCCGATTTCTGCGCAAGTAGCACAGAATGTTCCGACCGTAGTCTTGAAAAAAAATTCTAATTGGTGTCGTTCAAATTAGTGTGTAGGTCGAATCCTCTATAGTTCGGGTAGTTCTATTCGAATTGCATAAAATGTCCTGAGTTTTCAGCCGACAATTTCTTCAACTTAATTTTACTATTATACCTTTTTTCTTTCTTATTTGGAAACTTGGCATCTAGTTTTGCATGGCATGTGGTGCCAAGCACTTCATCTCTTCTGTGTTTTGTTTTTGATAAGCAAGCGTCGCAAATTAGTGTCGTTCAAATTAGTCAATGTGATAAAAAAAAATCTGAAGAAAAAAATAGAAATTATTCGAATGCAAGTCATAGTCAAACAAGCCAATTGGTATCCATTTTTTCTTAGAAAAATGGCTAGAAAAACGAAAAAAAAATTGTACAAATAATTTTTTTAATTTTTCAATTTATTTGCAGAAATTTTTGATTTTTCGAAGTTTTTGATTCCCAAAATGGCGCTAAAAAATCAAAACACTAACTTCACTTATTTAACTTCACTAACTGAAACTTAGTTTCTACGGCTTATTTTAAAATTAAATAAGCTATTGTAAGGCTGCGCGCTCACCATATTAGCTCGAAAATTGACCAAAAATCAAAAATTTCGAACCAATTTTTTTTAAAAAACTGAGATAAAATTTTTGAAATGTCGTTCGAATCGCGATTGAAAGGGCGTTAATATGATACATCATTTGACCCATTCCGAGATTTATGGTACCTAATCTTGCGTGGAAAACAAAAGAAAAATCTAAATCATACCCGAATACAAAGTTCCTCCACATTTTTCAAATGGTCGGAACAATAAAGACGCCCGTTAGTTGAACCACGAATTTCATAAAATTGAAAACATTTCTAATAGAAACAACTCTTAAATATCGTGCAACACCCACCAATTACTTTCGTAGACAAAAACAATCAAGTCATAGTTTGATAACAATAGTTTCCGGAAACATTTTTACAAATTTTATTAGTATTTTATTTACTAGACTAAATAAATTTTATTTTATTTACTAGACTAAATAAATTTTATTTTATTTACTAGACTAATTTCCAAATTTTTAAATACCTTGAGTGGATTTGAAATGATTTATTGATTTTCGAGTTGCGCACACTATCAGAACAAATAAAATCAAACACTTTCAAAAGAAAAACTTTTTTCTTTTGAAAGTGAAAATTTTAGCGTGTATTAAAAAAGCGTGTTAAAAAAGAATGTATAAAAAAGCGTTTGCGCGTGTTACTATCTTCTAATTGAATTAAACAATTAATTGAACAGAATTTTAAAAAATACACCAGGCAAATAAGCCGACAAAAATTGGACCAAAATCAATTAACCCTGCAAAAAAAAATGTTCACCAGTAGATTCAGTAACGCATTAACTCTAGACACTTATGTTTCTTGACACTATTGTTTGTCTGAGAAAATTAAACCGCTAAAATTCGAACTTCTCATTTTGTCATCACGCTAATTGTAATAACGCTAATTTGTCATCTTCATGTATTGTCGTCGTCTTAATGGCCTGTTGTCTTTTTTACTTATAGTCTTTTCCTATAAGCAAAAGAGCGAAATAATTTCCGAAGGTCATTGGCCAAATCTTTAAACAATCTCGCAGCTAAGATTTTTAAATCATGCATACCTCTTCCTGTAAATTGAAATCATCAACTGAACGATCAGGTATCTCAGTCATCCGCATGTTTACACCAGATTCAGAAGAAGTCCCAACACCTTCATCCATCACTGCGCCTTCTTTTTTCATCGAACTTGAAGACACTTCGTAATTTCCACGCTGCATTCTTTTCACCAGTTGTTATAGTTGTATAACCAATTAATTTTTTCCACAGTTAAAACCCATTCTCAGTCAATTTTATCACCATGAAAAGATTACAAATTATCAAAGTATGCAATTTGGAAAGTTAACTACTCTCGGATTATGTTAGAAAAAAATTAACGAATAACTATGCAAAATCAAATTTACAGCGTATTAATTATTCAAGGATAGTGGGAAACTTTTTGATATTCATTGCAACTAAATCCTATATGCACTCAACAAATAAGCTACACGAAACAAACCAACAATGACTTATATATAGATTCGCTTAATATACGAAGCGTGACCCATTTTAACAAAGTATGTAGTTATTAAGAAACACTATTGCAAAAACAACAGATGGATTTTCATCTCAGTAGTTTTCGGTAAGCATCGCCGATTTAAACTTAAGAAGCTCACATTAAGCTCTCGAAACGCTGACATGAAATAATACGAAACATTCTAAATTTACTAATTTTTACTTGCCTTCTTTTGGATAAGTATATCTAACCTGGTACACTAATTTGCGACATTCAAAGTAATACAATTCAATTGATGTGAAGTTGGCAAGTTGCGTGATATCCGGCACAAAAAATCTGAAACAATAGATTTGATCATGCGAGACAACTTTGATCATTGCGAGAAAACGGATAATTATTGGCGGCTGTAATAGTTCTCACTTGACGCCCAAGTAGACTTCGAAGTTTCGCTTCGTTGAATCAGCAATGCAGGATGTTGACTTTGCTTTCGGATCGAGCCAGTGCCGATTTTGTCTACAACACAGAACACTTTTCTTCAGCCATACATATTTCGATGGTTTTATTCACGTAAAACGTTACTTACTTGTCGTCATAAGTGTACAGTGCAAAAAACTGTCTTTCACCGACTACAGCTTGACTGCAGGCAATGTCAAACAGTTCTTGTACTGTGAGGTCATTCTGAAGCACACAAAAGTCAAAACTACTTACTTTCAAAAAAATAAGCAAAAAAAAATTATCATGCAAGGGCTGTTGTATAGTAAATGAAATGGTTTTTCTTCTTCTCTAATTACTTTATAGGCAAAATCGATGCGTCGCCCATTCGGTATAAAAAGTAGAGTTTTCCTCTCATTGGGCTCAGAAGCACTTCCGTTGACTCTTGAGCTGCTAGATCCATGCTCAACAGAACTGAATTGAGATTTAACGCTATTGGATGATTTTCGACTGGACGAGCTAGCAGAAGAGCCGCGGCGAGCTATCAGCCCACTCATTGAAAATGCACCTGATGACATTTTGAGACAACTGGTTTTCAGAGCAATTGCTGGTTTTTCCTATATGGCAAAAACATTGTAGCCACGATATCATTGTTGCATACGTGAGCTTAAATATAAGATTACATTTTTCTGTTTCCAAATAAGTATTCAACCATCGGGCTATCTAAAACATGTCAAAAAATCTGAGTTTACAGAGGTGCGATCGAAGCATAGCATTTCAAGCTAGCGAATAAAAAACAAGACGGACGTCAAATAATACATTTGAAAATCAATTTCTTAGAAAAACAAGTAGAAAAACATAACCAACAGAATTGGAAAAGCTTTCATTTGCCAAGCAACTAGCTACTAAGCCAACAGTACAGCAGACGACGCCAGTTGAGCCAAAAACAAAAAGTCATATAAACTTATGATACAAAAAACTAACAAAAAAAATGTGATAAAAGGGGGTCAATTAAAATGGGCCCTTCCGTCATGCGACGGTACGCGCACAGGTTGGATAGGGCCATTTATTTTCAAAGGGGGTCAATGGTAAAAGCCCCTTTTAAAAAGGGGCTTTTGGTTGAATACATACAAAACTAGCTTTTACAACTGATCTCGATATTTCTTAAAATGGTAAAAACCAATTACTGGTCTTCACACGATGTATATTTAGCTGACAAAGTCGACTAAACGTAAGCCGAAATTATATGCTCGAAATATAAACAATAACTTAGATTTTCAAAACCCATGCTATGGGTTTATTTACAAATAACAGCACGACTGTCAGATATGTAAAAAAAATTCTTGTTAGAAAAGCAAGCCGAATTAATAGAGCAGAAATTCAAGTGAAAAAAAATCGGGTATTTGTGTTTTTGTGACATTCGACCAGAATGTATCAAAATGCAGTTCGAATTCGAATTTTTTGTGTTCTTTGTGTTCTTTGTGACATATTCTCGAGTTGCTTACCAAATTAATTACTCCCAGTTCTTGAGCGTGCTAGGATGTGAGTATCCAATTTAAATTTCTAGAGTGTGTTTTATGATTGTTATGTTGAGGTAAGGCGAGTTTTAGGTTGATCCATCTGAGATGGATCAGAGTTCCACTGTCTAATAAAAAGTAATTTAACGGATTGTTCCGACCCGGTTTTTAACGGCGTTCATGTATTTTGGGTATTTTGAGACCTAAGTATGGGGACGTTCTTATTTCTAGAGTGGGGGGACATTTTGGTAGTAGCCTTAAGCTATAACGCGTCGTAGTCTCATGTCACAAGCGGACCGAATTGGCTCCGACTGATTTGAGGTAGAAAAACACAAGAGATAGTGACCCTGACTCTTGAGCCAATGGTTATAGGGCCTATTTTTCTTAAGCCTCATGTGTGACTGCAGTAGACGAATGTTACATAGTGTTTTTATGGCGCTCCTGGTTGTTTACGACATCAAGACTACGGAGTCGAACCCACTTGAGACAGCTCCGGGCTGCATGCCCATTCTAGAGTACCGGTGTTACGGTTCGGCGGGAACGTGCAAACCTTCCGGTTGTACCGTGATAGCTTTTTAAGAAAACTCGAGAAAACTTCCTGGTACGCTCTCCGAACGAGGCTTAGCTAACCGAGTAAAGGGGGGCAACTAGGGGGACAAAAACACGAGCAAAAAGACAAAAAACGAAACAAAAACCAAAAAAGAATAGAAAAAGGAACAAAAACCATAAAACGAAAAAAGACAGTGACTTTGACACCAGATTAGTTGGATCAAACCTTTATATTAATTAAATAGTATACCCATACTGTTTTACAAGTTCGATCGTTTCGATCAACCTAGCAATTTAACCCAGTAACATCAATAAAGTGCCCGAGTGTGGGGCGTTGTCAAGGGTTTTCAAGTGATAAAAGTGGGGTCAATTAAAATGGGCCCTTCCGTCATGCGACGGTACGTGCACATGTTGGATAGGGCTATTTATTTTCAAAGGGGGTCAATGGTAAAAACCCCTTTTAAAAAGGGGCCTTTGGTTGAATACATACAAAACTAGCTTTTACAACTGATCTCCTCGATATTGCTCAAAATGGTACAAACCAATTACTGGTCTTCACACGATGTATATTTAGCTGACAAAGTCGACTAAACGTAAGCCGAAATTATATGCTCGAAATATAAACAATAACTTAGATTTTCAAAACCAATGCTATGGGTTTATTTACAAATAACAGCACGACTGTCCGATATGTAAAAAAAATTCTTGTTAGAAAAGCAAGCCGAATTAATAGAGCAGAAAATCAAGTGAGTAAAAATCGGATATTTGTGTTTTTGTGACATTCGACCAGAATGTATTAAAATGCAGTTCGAATTCCAATTTTTACTAAAGCAGCTGAGCGGGAAAATTGGTGGTTTTAGCACAATAACAGTGTTAAACGTTCAGTTAGACGAATTGGGAATGGTCACTTTGGTGTGACCTGTTAATTTTTGAAATTTCATTTGAAAAGAAAGACAAGTTACGACTTCGAAATTTCGCGACAACTGGAAACTGAGAGAAATACAGAAGAACAGAATTCGTTGAGAAAAACGGTGAACGGCAATTGTGCGAGACAGATCGAGATTGAAAAAGAAAACAACTATCAGAACAATTATAGCGGCTATATGCCGCTATGTGCCAGTCGGTCAAATTTGGAAGTTTGACCTTGAGAAAAAACAAGAACGTTTAATTTTGAAATGAAATTTGATTTTTCAAAAATTCGAATGGAGCCTGTCATGCACGTTTTTCCCGCGATAACTGAAAACCGAAAAAGAGAAATCAGAACGATCGAGTAACAATCGCGGGAAAGTTGCCAGATAAAACAGTAGGAAATTGCTATTCGCAATTTCCGTCACAATAAAAACTAGAGTAGAGCTGTCCTGTCTGAAACAGAAGGAAGCGTGTTCCCGAGAACTGGACTATTATTGATCGACTGGATTATTATTCAAACTGGACTAGAGTGAACCTTCGATGGAAAGGTGGACAGCTTGAGTGTCCCAATGGTTCACGAGAAACTATACTCTAGAGTCCAATCTTGTTCCTGTTATTGAAACTGATAAACATTAAACTCATTTAGTTATATTATTTAATTCTCGAGTTGCTTACCAAATTAATTACTCCCAGTTCTTAAGCGTGCTACGATGTGAGTACCCAATTTAAATTTCTAGAGTGTGTTTTATGAGTGTTATGTTGAGGTAAGGCAAGTTTTAGGTTGATCCATCTGAAATGGATGAAAGTTCCACTAACTAATAAAAAGTAACTTAACGGATTGTTCCGACCCGATTTTTAACGGCGTTCATGTATTTTGGGTATTTTGAGACCTAAGTATGGGGACGTTCTTATTTCTAGAGTGGGGGGATATTTTGGTAGTAGCCTTAAGCTGTAACGGGTCGTAGTCTCATGTCACAAGCGAACCGAATTGGCTCCGACTGATTTGAGGTAGAAAAACACAAGAGATAGTGACCCTGACTCTTGAGCCAACAGTTATAGGGCCTATTTTTCTTAAGCCTCATGTGTGACTGCAGTAGACGAATGTTACATAGTGTTTTTATGGCGCTCCTGGTTGTTTACGACATCAAGACTACGGAGTCGAACCCACTTGAGACAGCTCCGGGCTGCATGCCCATTCTAGAGTACCGGTGTTACGGTTCGGCGGGAACGTGCAAACCTTCCGGTTGTACCGTGATAGCTTTTTAAGAAAACTCGAGAAAACTTCCTGGTACGCTCTCCGAACGAGGCTTAGCTAACCGAGTAAAGGGGGGCAACTAGGGGGACAAAAACACGAGCAAAAAGACAAAAAACGAAACAAAAACCAAAAAAGAATAGAAAAAGGAACAAAAACCATAAAACGAAAAAAGACAGTGACTTTGACACCAGATTAGTTGGATCAAACCTTTATATTAATTAAATAGTATACCCATACTGTTTTACAAGTTCGATCGTTTCGATCAACCTAGCAATTTAACCCAGTAACATCAATAAAGTGCCCGAGTGTGGGGCGTTGTCAAGGGTTTTCAAGTGATAAAAGTGGGGTCAATTAAAATGGGCCCTTCCGTCATGCGACGGTACGTGCACATGTTGGATAGGGCTATTTATTTTCAAAGGGGGTCAATGGTAAAAACCCCTTTTAAAAAGGGGCCTTTGGTTGAATACATACAAAACTAGCTTTTACAACTGATCTCCTCGATATTGCTCAAAATGGTACAAACCAATTACTGGTCTTCACACGATGTATATTTAGCTGACAAAGTCGACTAAACGTAAGCCGAAATTATATGCTCGAAATATAAACAATAACTTAGATTTTCAAAACCAATGCTATGGGTTTATTTACAAATAACAGCACGACTGTCCGATATGTAAAAAAAATTCTTGTTAGAAAAGCAAGCCGAATTAATAGAGCAGAAAATCAAGTGAGTAAAAATCGGATATTTGTGTTTTTGTGACATTCGACCAGAATGTATTAAAATGCAGTTCGAATTCAAATTTTTACTAAAGCAGCTGAGCGGGAAAATTGGTGGTTTTAGCACAATAACAGTGTTAAACGTTCAGTTAGACGAATTGGGAATGGTCACTTTGGTGTGACCTGTTAATTTTTGAAATTTCATTTGAAAAGAAAGACAAGTTACGACTTCGAAATTTCGCGACAACTGGAAACTGAGAGAAATACAGAAGAACAGAATTCGTTGAGAAAAACGGTGAACGGCAATTGTGCGAGACAGATCGAGATTGAAAAAGAAAACAACTATCAGAACAATTATAGCGGCTATATGCCGCTATGTGCCAGTCGGTCAAATTTGGAAGTTTGACCTTGAGAAAAAACAAGAACGTTTAATTTTGAAATGAAATTTGATTTTTCAAAAATTCGAATGGAGCCTGTCATGCACGTTTTTCCCGCGATAACTGAAAACCGAAAAAGAGAAATCAGAACGATCGAGTAACAATCGCGGGAAAGTTGCCAGATAAAACAGTAGGAAATTGCTATTCGCAATTTCCGTCACAATAAAAACTAGAGTAGAGCTGTCCTGTCTGAAACAGAAGGAAGCGTGTTCCCGAGAACTGGACTATTATTGATCGACTGGATTATTATTCAAACTGGACTAGAGTGAACCTTCGATGGAAAGGTGGACAGCTTGAGTGTCCCATTGGTTCACGAGAAACTATACTCTAGAGTCC